GAATATTTTGATGCTAGAATCAGACTAGAAGAATTCGAAATTGGTGAAAAAGTTTGGATACAATTAAAGGCTTTAGAAAAGTCAAGATTAGCCAAATTTGAAGACAAAAGAGAAGGACCGTTCATTATTTAAGCTAAGATGAATAATGGTGCTTATAAACTATGAATATTAGAAGGAAAAGTTTTACAAAAGTATTACAATAGCGACTGTTTAGCAAAGTATTATAAGAAACAAACATGGGAACCAATTATTGTCATCAAAAATCCTTAATTTCTGAAAGAAATTTTATTGAACAGGGAGAGACAAAGACAAAATTTTGCGAAACAGACAATCATACAACTTTAAAAATTATAAATAGACTCCTTATTTAGAAATTCCCTAATTTATATACAATTAACAATGTACAACACCACCTTGCAACAGAACTGGGAAAACTCTATAATAGGTCCCTGCTACAACAATATTCGTGTACTACTATAAATTTGAAAAATGTGATTGACCTACAATAGATTCGAATTATTATAAAGTCTTGTGAAGTTTTCGGCTTTGTATGATTCGCAGAAAAAAAGGTTACCGCTTATAAATAGATTCGCATATATAGATAATTAAAAAAGGTGCTAGTCACAATCTGATTCGCATTATTATAGCTTATATCATGTAACATAAAAATTTTTAATACTGACGTATATGGATCCAATTAAATTACTTGATTTTTTAAAATAAAGCAATTTGATTGGATCCACATATATAAAAATTTTTAATATCGTTTATAAAATTGGATAGTCTAAAAATACTTTTTATATTTATAAGTTGCAGCAATAATTATAAATTTGGATTGTATTATCGTTATTTATAAAACTTCTAATAGTTTGTCTTTATAAGTAATCTTTATTACTTTTATAAAATCCACCAAAGGTGGTAATTCTTAAGAACAAAATAATCATGAACATGAATAACAATATTAACTAATCCACATACAATATAATACACTATAGTAAGTAATGCGAATCAGAAATTTTTTAAATTAGAAATATCGATAATATTTCAATACAAATTACATTAAAAAATCTATTTACAATGTGATATACTATATTACAATAGTGTGTAAGTAATATGGATAGTATTACTAAATAGCTAGAGGCGAAAAAAAGATATTTGAATGTATTTAAAATTTGTTCAAGTAAAAAATTCTTTAGACAATTTTGGTGTAATTATATAAAAGCAATATCTAAATTACTTCACAAATTAAAAAATAGCCATAGAAAATCTTAAAAGGTAAGTTTTTATAATTTAGTGTTTATTAATATTTTAACTATTATTCTAATTATATATTATTTATACGCTTTAGTACATATTTAAATGTTTAAGTTTTTATGAGTTTATAAAGTATCGATATATTTTATTCAAACAATAAGATCATATGAGAAACTTCATTGTGAAAAGAAGCTATTCTTAATTAGGATTAGCATTAAAATACTAGTACAAATTAGCGCAAAAAAATTTTTTTTGATAATCTTTTTTTTTTTAAAAAAAAAGATGTCTTTTCCTTATGATTCACGTCAAAGTCGATTTACTTCTTTTCCTAATTTTCAAAAATTTATTAATGCTAAAACAGTTGTTTGTAAATGTGGTACGACTATTTCACTTGGTAAAGACTATCAAGTTTCCAATTTTCAAAGATATTCTCAAAGTAATAATTGTACATATTGTACAAATAAGCAACCAAGTATAAAAGCTTTTTTTTCAAAAGATAAATCAGAAGAAAATGATGATGATAATGATAAAACAAATAATGAGAAAAATAGTAAACAATGTATCATTATATGTCAAGGTCTTAATGATTTAAAATATGTTAATTATATTATAAGTAGTTCAGCTAGTTTTGGTGGTGGTAAAAAGCCTAAAATTGTAGCAAAAGAACTTTTTTCTGAAAAGTTTCTAGAAAATGCTTCTTTTACTAGAAAAAAACTTAGTAATAAAGAACAGAAGGAATTTGAGAGAGCATTAGAATCTGAAGCAACTTGGCGTTTAGATAAAGAAACTTTAACAGTATATCATATGCAATGTGAAAAAAAGACAAATAATAGAAGTGCTATATATAATAATTGTGAACAATTAAAATCTAACAAACGTTTAA